ATCTCCCTACTAATACTAAGCAAAAGTCTCAAAGTGGTATGGCTACTTTATTATCTAAATTTATTCACTCATGGTGGCCTTGGACTTAGTCATTTTAGTCTCAAACCTACTTACAATTGCAGATATTGATGTGCATGTAGGCATAGCCTGATTAGAAATGAGAAAAGTGGGTAGAAGTGGATAGGGATTCCCCCTCTATGTTGTTGTCCAGATTACTTTCACTGTTCAATTGTACTCCCTGATGAATGTGATGATAGATAATCATGCTCAAATTTTCAACTTTCTTTTCATAGTTCCAGTTTATTATTCACATTCCTTGTCAGTGATTGGTAATTTGCATTTGCCTAAGCATCATCCATCAAAACTTTGAAGTTGGGAGATACCCTGCCTCTTATCCCTCCTCCCTTCCCAAATTAGTTTTACCTTGTAATTTTGTATATGTTCATGCAGTTGTACAATTCCTGATTTGCAACTGTACTGCTATGTTCTAATATTCACCGTGTCAGCATCTTTAACTTAGTTTCTTTGTCTTCTGTTCTTTATATTAGAGAGATCAAAGTCCACGGATCAGCAGAAGTCAGCCTCAAGGTAAAAACTAAAAGCCTTACCCTGATTATGTACCTAATTTCATTCTAATTTTTTCTTGATGCTGCACGTCATTTTCTTTGCTGCATCTAAGATGCCTAGTGCCCTAGTGATGAGAGCTTGGTAAAATATTAGGCCATATAACAGACATAAAAATGCGCCTAACACATTGTCATAGAACTGAGAGACATAAAAGTGCTTCTAGAATAGAAATTATATGCAAGAGAGAAAGTGAGTGAGAAAGAGGGCTTTGGAGGATGTAGATGGGGAGAGTAACAGAAAATTCTTTAATTTTGATAGTTCAATATTTTTGGTTGACAATTTGAAGTTCACTTTATTTTATAGGTTACCTACTTGGAATCTCTGTTATTCAAGGAACTGAATTATTGGTCAGCTAGTGTGCTATCTTTGGAAGTCCTGTGCCTCATGGGATTTTTTTTAAGTGTGATAAATGACCAGGTAGCCATCGCCCAAAGATTGAACTAAGAAAGATAATTTCTCACCATTTTTGGCTTTGTTGTTATAATTTATCTTGCTGTTGCCCGAGAGGGATCTCTTAACTATTGGTTTTTTTTTTTTTAAAAATCTCTAATAACTTTATAAGTTACTGTTTAGTTTCTGAGATCTGTGGTTGCTTAATATCAATTTCAACCTGCAGATATCAACTTATAGTGATATTTCTGGGGTTGCCAAGTTTTTCCTTAGAAACAGCAGATTGGTGAGATAACATTTATGTAGGTGACGCATTCAGCAGTAAAACCCTTTTCTCTGCTTGTTTAAAGTGGGGCGTATAATTTAAATTCTTGGTCGTTGGCCTCTCTATTCGTTAATGCTGAGATCTTGCAAGAAAAGGGATAGTTTCACTTATTATTGTGCTAATTAGGTTGACTTGTCTAGTAAATTTTTAAGCTCACATGCTTTAAGTTGAAGTATGATGACGGAGACTACATTAATTGCTGTTTGATAATTTCACAATGTTGTTTCAGAAATCAACTGTGTTTCTGGGTTAATCTCATGAATTTAATGTTTTAGTAGTCATGTTCACAAAATTTCAATTGTGTTGTGAGCTCTTTGACATGCGGCATTGTTGCCTACTTCGTAGCTTAAAACTTTCTAGTTTGTGACAGAACACTCTTCTGGTGTTATATCCAGCAGGTCAGATCCTGAAAGTTCAGATGACCAAAGAAAAGTGGGAAAATTGTCTATCAGGAAAAAGGGAATTGGATCTGAAGCTAGGGCAGTGCGTATAGTTAATGCTGACACGGACCTGCAGCTGTTAAATAATTCTGAGCGAGAAAGATTGTTGCAGAAACAGAAGAAGCGGAGACTGAAGGGACGTGAAGATGATGTATGTTATCATTTCTCTTATCTTTCAGTTCCTATCCTTGCACTATTTCTTTCTTGCACCTTTATTTATGCAGCTTGGTATTGTAAAGAAAGTGTTAGCAGCTCTGCACCTATAATTGTCCTCAATATAGTAAAGGTCTGCTGAAAACACTAGCACATGAAATTTGTGTCTATGAAAGTATTGCTGCCTCCATTTTCACATGATGTTTTTGTTTGTGGCTTTGTTATACCCACTTACTGTAGATTCACCAAACAAGGACATATTGATAAAGGTGGGTGGTTGTGAGAAAAAAATGAGTTGTGGGGGGAAGGGCAAGATTGTCAAAAGTTTTATGTCAAAAGGAATAAAGTAGAAGTGGGTATAACAAAAAACACCTGAAATGAAAGTGGGTAGAATAAAAGGACGGAGGTGGTATATCCTTGTGCGTATGATAAATGTTGCTTCACTCTCTTAGATCATTAAGATTTTGACTTAAGAAATGAGTAGCATGACTGACAAACTAATTATATGCAAGCATGTATCCAAAATATGGGCAGTCTTATGTAGTTATTCAATGTAAACATAAATTCATAATTATTCGAATAATCCTATGACCTATGTATCATAGATACTCTTCATTAAAGCACCACTTATGCTGCTATTGATGCCTTTTAGCTCTTTCCCCTCTCCCCTTTTTTTGTCAATGACTGGAATTATTAACTTTAAATGGAAAAGATGAACCATATTTTTATACCATGTATAACATCATTGAAGCTCCTTAGTACTCTCCAATGAGACAAAAGACAGGGCAAAGAGGGGTAGAAATATGTCTCTGGTCCTGTTTCTTTTTCTTCTCTACTTATACCTTGTATCTTTCTTTGTTCTGGCTTTGCAATTGCTTCACAGCTGCCTGGTCATGGCTGGTCTTTCTTTCAAAAATATCTGGAAAATTGACACTGTTCGGTGGTTTGCATATGTGCTGTCCAGGTACTTGCCAAACTTGAGCGGTTCAAAAATTCGATGGCCAAAAAGCATGTTGAACCGAGTGGCAAATCCGAAAGTGGAATTGATGAAGATCTATCTGACTGGAAAACTGTCCACCTGAAGTTTGCACCTGAACCTGGAAAGGTTATCTTCCCTCTCCCCTTGTGTTATTACTAGAATTTTTTTTGTCTGGCGTTCAAATTTTCCAATATTGCCATTTGCAAATTGAAACTCAGAAAACAAACTTCTCTAAAGTAAACATCTGAAATAACGCTATACAATTCTTACTTGGATAAAGTTGTGATGCAGATTCCTTAATAAATAAAAATGTACTGCAGTTCCACCTAGAACAGGAGCTCCCTTTAGAAGTTGTTATGGACATGATGTTCAGTTATGAATCTTATGATTATACTTGAAAAAGTTTGATGATCCAGGATTCCAGGATGACTTTCTCATTGCTGATTAAATACCATTTACCTTGGAATCCTAAGAAATGCATCATATTCATATTTCTTTTTTCTTTTTGTTTGGGTGAAGGGGGAGAGAGGGGGGGGGGGGGGAATTGTAGAAGGGGCAATACATTCGATAAACAATTATGAGAAATGAGTTTTGAAATCCTAGATTGTCTGCAGACCTAATCTTTTCTTTATACTACGTAAGAGACCAGATAATGACTGAAAATATGGGCTGTTTCATAGGCTGCTTTGTGTTTAGCTTTGTAATGTGTTAACTTGCATATATTTGTAAGGATCTTTTATTTATTTATTTATTTATGTTTTTTAAACTTGATTACAAACATTTTATCATTTGCTTGAAATTTTAAAAAAATGGTATTACATGTGAGGAAAAAATACTGATGAATACTGACAGATGTAGGAGATTGTTCAACTGCCATTCTGTGCGTAGAAAGTAAGCTTGGATGTGATAATTGATGTAGGCTTTTTTGTGTGTAAATCTGTGTGCAGAATAACATGTCACGGAGTGAAGATGCCAACGACTATGCTGTGATTGATCCTCTTTTGGAGAAAGGCAAACAGAAATTCAATAGGATGATAGCAAAGGAAAAGCGACGAGAACGTGAATGGGCTGGGAGATCCCTGACCTGATTCTTTAAACTTCCTCCTGAATAGAGCCATGTGATTCACAAATTCCTATGATCCTGTTCTGCACCTCTTCATAGATGACGGCCAAGGGATGATCTTGCGCTCGAAATACTAAAAGATACATGGAATGCTTTTCACAAGAATATTGCTTCCAGTCCTTGTATCTGATGAGCACAAAGTTGGAGTAAATGTCGATTTGTGAATGTATACTATCAGACTGTATTATAATCTCCCCTCTTCAAGGATATTCTTGGTTCTGTACTTGATGGTTACATTCATAATTTTCCATTTAAATAAATTATTTATATTTTCTATGATTTCCCACAGTATAAAGAAATTCACTTTTGAAGGAAAAATGACTTTAAATACTTCCTGACTTGGGCTGAGCCATAACATTCAGGGTACCAAGCCCAATAAGCCCAAACCCAAAGATCATTGGGAGCAAATCATAACCAATGACAAAAAAAGTTTCTTTCAAAGTATAAAATTCTATACTCTATACTTTTTTTTTTTGAATAGCTATACTCTGAACTTGTATTAACTTACTACATCAACGCAATAACTTTTCCTTAATATACAGTAATATCTCCTCATGTCAAATTTGAGAAAATAATACGGAGTAATAATAATAATAACAATAATTAATACTTCTCCGTTTTTAAATACTTGCTTCATTTCTCTGAGATACGTATTTTGATCAATAATATCTTTAATTATTAATAAGTATAAATTCTAACAATTGAAAATTAATAATCTATTCAATGAGACGATTATAACAAGTACCTGCAAGACTCTAAAATAATAAAGCAAGTATTTAAAAACGAAGGGAGTATATTTTGTATTTTAAGCTTTTAACATGGATATATTGACATATTGTAAATTCGTATTAATTTAAATTTGTATTCAAAATGTGATCATGCTCGTCATCTCGTGTATTATTCAAAAGTAATTTTGTAAATAGAGTCAAAAGTTAATACGAGTATGACACTATTACATAATATAGGAGGGGACTAATTACACTCTTTTCTTCTCTACTTTCTTAATTACACAGTAGAGAGAGAAAGAGAAAAGGTTAGAGAGAGAAAGAAGATGGAGAATCATCAAGGAGGAGAAGCGATGGGGTCAACTTTGACCATGGAGAAAGCCAAGGCTGCTAAGAAGTTTATCGAGAATCACTATCGAGCTCAGAATAAGAACATTCAAGAAAGAAAAGAGAGGTTTTCATTCTCAATTTTTTATTTTTTTTTGTAAATTTGTTTTTATATTTAATTTCATATGATTTTTACGCGTTAATTTCAAGCTAATTTCTACTTATTAAGATTTCAATTAATTATACTTTTACAAAAGTTAAATTTAATTCGAGAGCAAAATGTTTAAATTTAATTTCATTGTGCTGAATTCCATCACAATTTCTAATGGGATGAGTTTTCTTAATTCATGGTTCTGATAATTTTATTACTACCTCCGTTTCATATTATTTGCAACGATTTAATGTATTATTTGCAGCGACTTAACATAAAGTGTGAATATAATATGTTTAATCGTTGCAAAAAAAATATATGAAATAGTGGTAGTATATTATTTTTTCAATTTTTCATTTACAATGAAAGAGTTATCTGGCTGGTTCATGATCAGCAGAAGTACTTGAACTCATTTGATTTGTTTTTGTATTAAGTGGAAAAACTGGCATCACACTAATGAGTAATGACTGTTATTATTCTGGTGCATTATTTAAAATTTGGGTTAGAATGTGCCTTTTAAGTGGCTTAATGCATAATACCTTATTGTTGTAGACGCTGGGTACTAGAAAAACAGCTAGCTTCTTCGGACGTGCCCGAAGAAGAGAGAATGAGCTTGATTAAGGATTTGGAGCAAAAAGAGACAGAGTTTATGCGACTGAAAAGGAATAGGATGTGCGTGAATGACTTTGAACTTCTCACCATCATTGGGAGAGGAGCTTATGGTGAGGTGAGCGTCGATACTCGATAGTATTATGTTTTTTTTTGGGTGTTTCACTTGGTTCATCCGTAGAGCTAATTGGGATTCGAGGATTAGTTCTGGGTGGTTAGGTTCCAGTCCCCTCCCAATTGTTGTTGCAGTGGATTTGAAAAGTTTATAAAATTTTGATACCTTGAAAGTAAAAAAATGAGACGAATCTAACAAGATCCCACATGAATGCTCACTTTATAATAAATCACTAAAATTAGTCAAAGTAAGGTGTGTAAATATTGTAAAATAAAAAATGTCAAGGCATTGCGAAGTGTGTTGGTTGTTGTCTTTGTTCATATTGTTTTAAACTGTCATTCTGCAGGTCCATCTGTGCCGGGAAAAGAAATCTGGAAATATATATGCCATGAAAAAATTGAAGAAATCTGAAATGCTTAGTAAAGGACAGGTACTATATTACATATGTTGATTTTTGATGCAAGTCCTTAAAGTTAAGTTTATCCTAGAATTGGGAATATCTGTTGTCTGTGACGTATGTTTGAGCTAATTAGTTGGTTCATGTTGTGTATGTTGTACACTTGTACTACTTGATCTCATCAAAACATCATCTAGATATGCAAAATTTGTGATTTTTCCCTCCTAATCTCCTACAAGTGTTCCATATTCGTCAATGGGATATTGAGGCTGTCTCTGCTTTTGTGCTTTTGTGAATGATGCTAATGTCTGAATCTCTTCATTTGTTTAGTGGGGCTATTTGATGAGCACAATAGCCTTGTGTAACACTGGAAATAACAGCTTGTGGTGGCTGCCACTATCCTCATCTATCACCCGTTCTTGCCTCCAATTGTTTTGCGTGGATTCTGCATTATGGCAAGAGAATTATTTTCATCTACTGATATTACTGATGTGAAATTTGTTCTTTTTAACATGTCATCTTTTCTCTGTTCACGCATCATGCTCTGTGTTTTCCTTGCAGGGATGTCATTGTCTTATTCATGACTTTTTTTTTAACTAAATCACCTCTGTAAAAGCTATACTTTTACCATGAGAATCCAGATTTTTATTGCCTCTGTAGTATGAATTCTCACTTAATAGCCTTGTAGAGAAGTTTGTTTCATCTCAAATTCTTCTTCTTTCCTAGGTGGAACATGTTAGAGCTGAAAGGAATTTGCTTGCAGAAGTTGACAGTCACTGCATTGTAAAACTATATTATTCCTTTCAAGATGCTGAACATTTGTATCTGATTATGGAATATCTTTCTGGCGGTGACATGATGACCCTTCTGATGAGGGAGGATATCTTAACTGAAAAGGTTGCAAAATTTTACATAGCACAGAGTGTCTTGGCAGTAGAATCTATTCACAAGCACAACTATATCCACAGGTTTGAATTGCATCATTTTCTGAGTTGTGAAGCTCATAAATCATCAACATCGTTATTGATAATTGATTTTAATGTTCTACCCTCTATTAATCTGTGAGCAGCTGCTGAGGTTATTTTTACTGAACTCTTTATCCAGGGATATCAAACCTGACAACCTTCTTCTTGATAAGAGTGGTCATATGAAACTTTCAGATTTTGGCCTCTGTAAACCTCTTGATTGTGCAACATTGTCTACTATCAATGAAAATGAATCCATGGATGATACTTCTAGAGATTCAATGGATATAGATGCTACCTTTCCTGATGCTGGTAATGGTCACAGTTGGAGAAGTGCTCGTGAGCAACTTCAGCACTGGCAAAGGAATAGGAGAAGCTTGGTAAGCTATGTGTATCCATTTCCAGGGATATTCTGACAGTGGTTGCTTAAGTCTTGAGGAATAGTTTCTATATTTTTTTTAGTGCAATGGAGTAGTTTCCATATCAATAAAGAATGTTATCAATCTTCCTGTAACCAGTAGTAAAAGGTTATATGCAGTGGTCAGTTGGCTCCGACTTTCAGATAGTAAATGCTGAAATTCTTTCTATCTATAGTGAGTCATTGCAAAACTATTATGAAAAATGCAGTTTTTCTTTCTGCATAGAGTTATACGATCTTCTTGAGCTGATGCTCTATGACTTATAAAATTCTTGAGGGTTGCTTTGAGCATGCTTTAACTTAGAAAAGTGGAGTAAAGTGTTGTTATTTTTTTTTTTGGGTTTCAAATTAAATGCAAGGAGCCTCTATGCTTGAAGCTAAGGCATGCAATTGTTTATCTGAATAGGGTCATATCCTACATTAAGTTCATATTTTTCTCTCTGTGAAGCAGATGTTCGTACTTAATGGTTTTAGAATCTTAATTAGTCAATTAATATATTTCTCAGTTGAATGTATGAAAGCTAATCTATAATCTACTGGTACACTCTTGTTGCATCGATAATTGAAAGGCAGAGTGCTGATGTATTGCTGATGTGCATTTCTGGATCTGAAGGATCTGATCGACTGAGTTTACATGCTACTGTCAAATGTTTAAGCATAGCTGAGATAATAATCACCTTTGCCTTACAAATTGAAGCTTAGCTTCATACCATTTTTTTTTTATTATCTTTTATTTTTGGGTGAAATTCAACAGGCATTTTCAACTGTGGGTACACCTGATTATATTGCTCCTGAAGTTTTACTGAAGAAAGGATATGCAATGGAATGTGACTGGTATGCTTTATCATTTAATTCATTAAATGTTTGGGATGGTTGCGTTAAAATATTACATTGTATGTATCATGACTTCATGAGTGTTTATGATATGACGTAATTCATTGAAGTTTCAAACATGTGATTACCATTTTTTTCGTTGTTAGAATAGAGTTCCTAGGACTATGTTGTGTTTCCAACTGGTCATTTGTTAAAAGGAAAATGCTAGACATAGCCCTTAGGGCTACATATAAGCATTAAATACACACTAGAAAATCGTATAAAGTTAGGAAATCATAAAAATATAAACACTAATTACACTGATTTACGCGTGTTTTTGTCATAAGTTCCTAATTATATACAATTTTCAATAGAGTATTTAATGCTTAATTGCTTATACATAGCCCTTAGAGCTACATATAGCATTACCCTTGTTTAAAATCAATACTCTTTTTTTTTTAGGGATTAAAATCAATACTCTAGTTTTGTATATTATGATACTGTCACAGCCACAATTTTTATGGTCTGCGGCATACCTAGATTATGTTATTGCCATGAAATTTATTTTGTACCTTTATGTAAGAAAAATCATGGGTCAACTAAAACAATAAAAAAGAAAGTCAATATTTAAAAAAGTCCTCTCTCCCCCATGCGCCCTGTATATTAGCCCTATCTGCAGTTACATTATTTGGACTTAGTGGATAGTAGTTAATGAAGATTTAGTCCATATTTTCCTCTCCAATAATGATGCTTGTATGTTGGGGGTACTGAATTTTCTAGCTGTATGCCTATACATGTTATGAATTTTTAAGCAATCAAAAGAGTCCAAGTTTTCAATCTTTAGCATGTAGATCTCTCATTCATGGGGCTTAATCTCCAAAATGCAAATTATGCATGGATGGAAGGGTAAATGAATGTGAAAAAAAGTCAAGGAATAATTGGTTAAAATACATAGTGAACTTAATCACCTGTGACTTGTGAGATTGAAGCTGCAGATGCACACAGCCTACATAAGGTGCATGCTCTAGCTATCCTGCTCTGGCTGAAGTCCAGAACGAAGCCTTTTTTTTTTTTTGCTGGAACTGATTGAGCTGACCTCAAATGGCTATGATGGGTAGTGTTTCTACTGTCAATACTCTTCTGACTGCCTCATTAACTCTGTTAATTCATCGACCTAATGTTAAAAGCCTGGAAGAGCTCTTAAGTTTGATACTTGTATCACCAACTTAATAATGACATATATTTGTACATAAGTAATATAGTTGCCAGAATCGAGTTTGTTTATGATAAATTATGGTCATATTCAATCTCTATAAAGTATACCTATGAACTGCTTGTCTGTTTGATATGGTTGGTGTTTGCTAAATGAGTGTTTATCTTATTTGGTCTGCTTATGTTTGTCCACCATGCTTATCCGTCAAGATTCTATGCAGGTGGTCATTAGGTGCAATCATGTATGAAATGCTAGTTGGTTATCCTCCCTTCTACTCTGATGATACAATGACAACATGCAGAAAGGTATGCTTTACTTTTGTTTTAGATGTGTTGAAAGGACTATAGTCTATAGATCATTGTTAACTACCCCATAGCTGATAATGCTTTTTTCATCTGCCAAGCTCTAGAAAATCCTGAATACATGTTTAAATTTATGGATAAATGCACCACATATGCACGTAGATAATTCCACTTAGCGAATTCATTGTTATCTGGTCAGTATGAGTAGGGCACTGCTTTTTTCTACCTAATGCAATCTCTGAACATGTGTGATAGATTGTACGCTGGAGGCACTATCTAAAATTTCCTGAGGATGCAAAGTTGACATTTGAGGCAAAAGATCTTATTTGTAAGTTGCTTTGTGACGTTGATCATCGATTAGGCACTGGAGGGGCAGAGCAAATTAAGGTGTGATACTGGTTGTAACCTAGTTAAATATCTTTATCTTCGACTTACAGATTTTTATGTTCTCTAAAGCTAATAAGCATTGTCAGGCACATCCTTGGTTTAAAGATGTTGAGTGGGATAAATTATATGAGATGGAGGCAGCTTATCAGCCACAAATAAATGGGGAGCTTGATACTCAGAACTTTATGAAATTTGATGGGGTATGCCTAGTACTGTCACTAGCTTCTTTATTTTGACAAAAGTTAATCCTTCTAACTTTGATATTAATCTAAAAGGCCATGTCATAATTTTTTAAAACCTGTTGAGGTAGTGCAAATGTCAATAATTATAATAATCCTTATTTCTGGCTGGAAAGAGAATGTATGTGTCATGTGTGTGTGTCGGAGTGTGGGGGGGGGGGGGGGGGGGTTATGTCATGGCGATTTGATTGGCACAAGGGTTAGTTGGTGATCTTCAAGGTTATTTGCCAGTAAATCATTATCAAGGCATTCAACTGAGGGAGATCGTACCCTCACTGCCTTATAGGAGGGGTTCATACTTGAAATACTGTATGTGCTTCTCTCTAATATCAGGGATCAAGCAATGCAAGACAACTATATTTTAGCAAGCAGTATAGAAATGGGGGAGAACTTATAGCACGTGATAGAGGAGAGTAGGGTGTTGCAACGAGCAGCCACCATCTATGTATTTGATATGCTAACTTTTAGATGAACTTATAGCACGTGATCATGTAGAACTGTGGTGTTTCTCTCTTTAGTGAACCGGCTAACGGGATGGGTACCATGGGGATAGCATTGTAATACTGTAAGAGAGTAGCATAAGGGAAAATGTAGAGACTAGAGAGTTAGCTAGATTCCTTAGAGGGGGGAGAGGCAGAGGAAACCATAAATTCTATTTATAGAGGAGAGTAGGGAGATAAAATCATGGAATTTTTATTATTATTTTTTTTGGTAAAGATCATGCCTCTTGATGCTTGAAGATTGTACAATTCATATCTTTACTGTTAATTATTTCTCAAGTTTCCAGTTGCTAGCAATCTTTTCTGGAAGGCCTTCTGATTTTTTTCCCTCTTGTCGAATAATATAACAAAAATGATATCATCTTTTCAGTTTTCTAATTCTTGGTACTTTCTTGCGGGAAGACCTTCTCTTTTCTTTTTTTTTTCCCCTCACTTTCTAACTAAGGGTTCAAAAGTATTCAGTATACACACACATGCATGCAGACAAGTGCACGCATCTGGTTGCATACTATTAATGTACTGAAGGCTTCTGCTTTGTTTTCAGGCAAACAATGCAACACCATCAAGATCTGGATCAGGACCCTCGAGAATGGTAATTTACTCTAACAACATTTTATATTGAATTTGCGATATGATAGCAGAAAAAGGAGAGCTTTTGTAATTTTACTCATCCTGACATTCTCTGTACAACAGTATCGACATGTCATATAGTTTTGGGTGGTACATATTTGCATAGATTTTGCAGCTTTACCTGCTGAAACAAGAAGAGCCGCTATCCTAACAAGACTTGCAAATCATTTTCGCAGAAGGAAAATAATAAGAAAACAACAGAAAAATTATACTCCCTTTATCCCTAAATAAAAAACTCTAATTCCTGTTGCACTCATTTTTTTTTAAGGTGAATAAAAAAATAAAATAGTGGGGTTTGGTCGATTAAAAATAAGATAACGGTTGGTTGTTTAGGAAATGCCATGGTATACCATGGAACATATAAAAAAAAGTTCTTTTTTTCATTTTTTTTTGGATGGGGTGGGTTGGGGGGGGGGGAGCGTGCCGCGGTGTGCGTGTGTTTGTGTGTATATTTGGAGGTGCATATGCAGCTTAGGATGCTGTGGATCAAGTGTAAGGTAAAAGAGCCAGCTATATCTTTGTGAAAGTAGCCGTTAAGGACAGTGAACACAGCAAATCAAGGCCAATTACCAACCTCGTTGTAAAGACATAAAATTTTTGTTCTCCTAGCGTGTGGGCTAATTTGTTCTATATCATAATACAAAATTTCAAATTGAATTTGCTTGCATGAAACGCTTCTCCTTGTATGTTGGATTGTCGATTGTACATCATAAAATTTCTAGAAAACTGCAATGTGCTAATAATCATTTCATCTTGTTTCATTCTAATAAGTTGTACATTCTGTACTCTCTATTGATAAATTCAATCTGTCTATTGTTCCTTCTGTTCACTTCTTTTGTGTCTGATGTAATTTTCAGTTTACAATGGCAATGTTTGTTGTTTATATAACAATACCCTTTTTCTTGTTTCCATCCTTATTTCTCTCTTTAGATGTTTTTTTTTCTCTCTAATCTGGTTTCATATGATGCTTATTTTGTAATTTTGTTTATCCTCCCAACACCATTGCAGATGCTGATGCCAAATGATCTAAGTTTTGTTGGATATACCTACAAAAACTTTGATGCTGTTCAGGGGCTACGCCATTCTTATGGTATTTCTTTTCACCTTTAACTCATGATGCTATGATTTTCTAGTAGATATTGCATATGCTTCGTTATTCAACACCTTTGTTGTTTCATTTGTGGATGTTGAAAGAGTCTATACTGTGTGCACTCTGTGCAGATGTTGAGGGAAAAGATGACTATATTTGCTTAGGTATCTGACTTTTCATACATGAGTTACCTTGCCCAAGCTCGTGCAAGAACTGAGATTCCTAAGGCTTAAGTATTGAGGGAAGGAAGGGGGAGGAGAAGGAAAAGGGAGACACCCTTAATTGAATGTCATACATCTCAATGCAAGGTAAAAAAACATATATTAAGGAGAGGAGAGAGAGTGAGAGAGAATGAAAAAGCAAGTGGGGTAACTTCTAAATGCAAGGTAAAAAAGTTACCCTAAACGGAAACGTGTCAACTAAAAAACTTCCTAAAAAGGAATACGTGTCAACTAAAAAAAAAACGGAGGTAGTATAATATATTTATAATGTATATTTTAATGTATCTACAATGTATTTTTATGTATCTCTATGTTTCACTTTCTAACGATAAACATACTTCTCACCAGGTTCCAACTCTATATATATGTGATGAGTCATTGCGTTGGTTGATGTGAAACTCCTATCCTGAAGGGCCTATGGGTCGAATACTATCCAGAAAAGATATTACAGGCTTACAGCACAAGGGTTTCATCAAAAAATTGCATCTATGCCTCCGTACTTGAAAAGTCAAGCTTCACCTTCCAAGGTTTCCAAGACTTTGGACTTCTAAGAGTTCTAAGAAGTGTTCATCTAGTGCTTGACTAGTTAATTCAGAACAAGGTGTGCAAGGATTCATAGAAAAACTGAGCTAATTATTTATACTAAGCTAAAAATAACTTGTTTATAATAATAATAATAATAATAATAATAATAATAATAATAATAATAATAATAATAATAATATATCTTTGTTCGCCTTCAACCTCTCACCCAAAAGTGTATATGTATAAGAATAGCGTGTTAATTAAGGGACAAGCCAGTGAATACAATTACGCAATCAATTTCATCAAAATTTTGTTTTCAAATCAGTAATATTTATCCACCACACTGATTTTCTTTGATTAAATTCCTTATTCAATTCAGTAGTCTTGAGAACACCATATTTACAATTTTGGCATTGTTGTCTTTTGTTAGATTCTAGGAAAGACTTTGATAGATTGAATACTAACATTACAATTTTGACCAACTAAAGACTACACAAAGGGTAAATTGCTAAAAAGTGGAAAAAATGATCACTGTTGTATTCTTACAAAATATTATGTATCTTTTGTAAATTATAGGTTAGGAAAAATATAGTCAATAAAGATCTATTTTTCTTGATTTAATTGATTATAATGAACATTGGCAAATGAGAAAACTCAAACATTGCAATTAAAATAGAACGGAAAAAGTAAATGATTTAGTATAGTAGTATAAGAGTTTGTTCTGATTTACTGAAATGAACTAAATTGTTTATAAGAGTAGGAAATTGGGAATTGAATTGAATTGAACTGAAATTAAGCTGAAGAGAACCGGGCATAAGTTTACTATTTTTTTTTAAAAATACGGAGTATATAAAATTATTTGCTATGTTTCAAAATTGTTTTATTTATGTGCGTAATAAATTGAAGATTAAGTAGCTCATTATCGGCAAAATGGCCTAGTTTGTGATAACTTGGGACTACTTGGTTAATGTAATAATTGTAATTTTATTGAGCTTGGGATGATTAAGGTCTTGTTTTTTTGACGTTGTATTGTTGTGTACTACTATGCTGACAACTACTATGAGATTACTCGGTTAGTGTTACAGGGGTTAGTTTGTTGATGTTATAGGGGTTAGTTTGTTACACCTTACAAGTGTTGCAGACACTGGCGGATCTACATTGGGACCCGGGGGGGCACGTGCTACCCCCGGGAAAGAGAGGGGAAAAAAATTGTATGAAAAAATCTTTTTCCTAAATACTTGATAACTATTAAACAATGCATATATTACATGAATATTGAATTTGCTTCAGCGGTACAAAGCAGGTAATTAACGCTTTGTTTGGATAGCAAAGAAGGAAGGAAAAGAGGGGGAGGGAAAATGGAGGAAGGGAAGGGAAAAGAAAGGGAGGGGGAGGTGAGCTCCATTTTCCCTCCAAATCTCTCCAATTTTGGAGAGATTATGGTTATTAAAGAGAGAGGGAAAATGGATCCCTCCCTCTCCTTCCCCTTCCTTCACCCAATCTATTACCCAAATAAGAGATTTTGTCCCCTTCCATTTCTCTTCTCTTCTTTTCCTTCCATTTCTTCCTATCCAAACAAAGTGTAAAGCTTCCTTTGAGGTGCCTTGGAGTCAGCGGTTCGATTCTCTCCCTGTTTTGGGTGTTTTTGTCCCTCGGGAGAGTTACAACACAAAGACTGGTCCGGTGCGGCCTGTACCTGCAAAACAAACGGAGACACCGGTTGGGTGGTGCTCCACCTCCAACGCACAAGTTAGTAACTTGAAGGGAGAGAAAAAGGTGTGGAAATCTAGGTGGGTATCTGCTCGGATTCCAAGCTCAGATGTCTCTATCACAGGGACAGTTTGTAATCAATGGTAAAGCGTGCCCTCCAAAAGAGGGGAATCTCCCTATTTATAGGGTCCTCGGGATTTGCGCCCCTGATTAGATCACTGAACCCTAATCACTGGTGGGTTGCGCCGCATTGCGGCTTTCTCTGGATTTGGGCCTGAAGGCCGCCATTCCTCCTAGGTTTCTGGAGTGACACGTGTCAAGAAGGGATAGGTCCACGTTGGGCCATCTTGGGGCTGACACGTGTCATCCTCTAATTGGACAACGTGGCGGGCTAATATTACCCTAAACATTTGCCCCTCACAGATGTGACGTGGCACGCCACGTGGCATCTGTGACATGCGTCACGCTCCGGTTGGTGGTAATTTTACCTCCAAAGAGTAACCGTTCACCTTCCAAGTAAATTACGGGAATGCCCCCGCATTTATCCTCTATATATAGCCGTTTACCCTCATAATTTTGTACGTTTACAAAAATCTTCAAGAGAGACAACTTTGAGAGAGCAGAAGTCATTCGTTTGAGTCAAGCGCAAGCAAGAAAACTCGTTCTTCGTCATCCCAGCTGGACCCGTCTATCTTCAGATATCAAATCTAAAGGTACCGTCTCTGCCTCTCTCAGCTCTTTTTCTTGTTTCACCACTTGTACATATTTCTTGAAATAAATGGATGCATCACCAACACACACGACACAACCTAGGTTAGAGTCCAGCCGGTCACCAGGGAAGGCTGAGTCTAGGACTGGGAGTGCCGTCTCGGGGTGTTGGGACCACCCTTTTTCTTGGATCCTGACCATTTATGTGTTTGTGCAGGACACAATGGCTCGGACAATGCAGACGGCCCCCGATCCAGACTACAGAAGCGAGGGCTCGGGCGGTCAAACGCCTGAGGGAGAAGCGTCTGGTCAGAGAAACCAGACGGCTCTGGAGAGATCCCCTCCGCGTGCCCCTTCAACTCCCGCAGATTCCTTTTTGGAAGAATGCGACCAAGACGGCGATGAAGCCGTCTCAGCTCCTTTGCCACAAAATGAGGAGGAGACGGAGAGCGACAGCTCCGCCTCCACTTCTGAGAGCAGTGACGACTTGCCACCGCTTGAAGATAGTGAGGAGGAGGAGATGAAGAAGTGGAGTGAGAAGGACGACCCCTTCAAAATCCACGTCTCAGCCAAAGACAGGGGTCACATGGAGGAGAACTTAGAAAGATTTAAACAAATGCACCCGTTAGGAGATGGGTACAAGATTAGACTGCCGCCTGAGGACGGCACCATCGCCTGGGAAGACGATCAACAGAACGCCAACAACTACTTCGGCTGTTATAAGGCGGCGTTCAAGGCCGGTCTTCGCTTTCCCCTTCACTAGGCGGTGAAGGCAATCTTGAGAGGCTACGGCCTCAAAGTCTGGCAACTTACCCCCAATTATTGGGCAAACATCTTGGGGTATGTTGCCGCCTGCGAACTCCAGGGGCTCCATCCCGGCTGGGAAGCTTTTGCTAAGATGCATTATCTTAGCCGAAGCCCAGGCGGCTGGAGGGCGTGGTACACTTTAACCACGTATCCCCAATACATGATGACCTTAGACAAGGTCTCCAAATTTGACGGCTAGAAGCACAGGTTCTACCTCCTGTCGACTCCCAACAGGCGGGAGAACTACGAGTTCCGCCAATACAATAAGAAGCCCGAACTGATGGGCCGGAAGTGCGCTCTTCCCCGGATCCCAGATGAGGACTTCGACAAAATAATTGAGGCAGATTTTTTCGGCCTCACAGACGCAACCTTGTCAACCGGGGAGACAATAAAATTCCCCAAGAACTGGATCCCTAAGAGCGCCTGGTTCAGGGACGAGTGTTTCTTAGCCGCCTGCGGACTAGGAAACATGTTTACCAAACGTATGCTCCTGAGTTCACATCCGCCTGTAGTACTTCTGTATCAGAATTGCTTGATGATGTATTAATCAACTTTTTTCTTTTTGCAGAAGAAGCTTTAAGCATGTTGCAGACGGAGAAGACACCCAAGCGGTCCTCTGCAACCATCCGCAAGGAGCTTGCGGAAAAACAGGCGGCCGCAGTCAGGGCCAAGGTAAAAAAACGCTTGACTCTTCCTTAGATTGGCCTCAAAGTTTATTATCTCCGGATGTTAACTTTAACTTGGTTATTTTCACAGGGAGGAGAGGTAAGAAAGACGTTTGAGAAAGATCTCAAACGGGTCAGGGAGGAATCCGCCTCCACCCCTAACAAGACCAAAAAGTCCGCCTCCGCCTTAACTCCTGGCGCCTCAGCCAGGAACCAACAGATGCGGATAGGGGGGCGAAATGAGAGGATAGGCGGCAGTCTGTTCCTCGACCTCGTAAACCCCCTATCAGCAACCGGGGGGTTCACCATTCCTGCAAGCGGCTCCCTCTTGGCCGGCTCTGAAGGTAAGAACCCATTTGAATCCCCGCCTGAGCTGGGTGGCCTTTGCGAGTGAAATCCCACTCCCAACAGACGTCATCCTCAGAGGTCGGCAACAGATAGGTGCTGCCTTAATTTCGCACTCATCACCTGTTGATTATGGTGCAGATCAATCTCCTCGCTGGCTAGACGTCCAAAGGCATGTTAAGGCCATGCTGGAGGCGGTGAGCAGGAAGGACAAGAACGTTATCCCCGGGATAGAGACGTTCAACCTGGAACGAATCATGTCCCTTCTGGCTGAGGTAAGATACTTAACAACTTTTTCCAAGTGCTTTACTCCGCCTGCAATACTAACTTGATTTGTTTTTGCAGGCTCTGCTGCGGGTAGACGGGCTCAAGCGTCCTTATTCCCGCAAACGGGAAGAGGTAAAAAGGGCCAAGAAGTCCGCCACAGACGCTGATAATGTTGCTTTATACTCCACTATCGTAAATGAACTTGAAACTAAAGCAATCACAATGACACAGGCGTCGAAAATCCAGCAGCTGGAGGCGGATCTGAAGACGGCCAACCAGCGGGTGAGCGACGCTGAGACAGCTCAGAAGAAGGCAGAGGAGGCCCAGAAAAAGGCAGATGAGGGCCTCAAGAAGGCTGATGTAGGGAATAATTTCAAGCCTTTAAAATCCCACTAGCTTGAACCCCACTGTGATCATACACTAAAGTACGGTGGCGTCCAAAAGGGAAGAAGATAGAGCAAAATAGCCGCCAACAATTTTGTAAGGAACTTGTAAACCGTTCACGAGGTGAAGGTCACACCCCTTAACGACCCAAGAGATCGTCAACTCCATAAGGTCATGAACCAAATAAGGGTTCGGGGATGAAGGTACAAATCCAACCTAAAAGAGATTGAACCTGCCCTAATAATAGGCCTCTACTTTATTCTGATCGTATTCATGTGCGCTTTCTGACTAACATACAATCAATAAATTAACCCTAAACCTGTTTAATCTATGTTGGTTGAATATTAATGCACAAATAAACTATTATTGGCGATTACTTGAATTATAATCATATTAACCCTAAACAAGATTATTAATTATCTTATTAAGCATGATTACAAGTACCAATTCCCTTTAACATGCATCAAAGGCGTGATCAAGCAATAAAAATAAATATCATCAAGAAACATAATAAATAATCATAACAATAAAAATATAATCATCATCATCATAATAATAATCATAATATTCATAATCATTATAATCATAATCATATTCATGTTAATATTAAAGCATAATAAAAATAGCAAGATCCTAGGCATGATACTAACAAGATTAATAACAAACCCTAGCATGTCACTAAGCATTAAAAATCAAATCTTTAGCCCTAACATGATACTAACAATCATAAATATTAGGAAGAACATAGGAAGCATCGTAACAATCATATTTTATATATTTGATATTATAACCTTTTCCCTAAACATGATACTAGGAATATCATAATAACAATATAAACATGATTTCTACATCATAATATCAATTAATCAATTAAAGTACTTACTTTGATGCTTCGTACCTCTTTCTAATAACAAAATACACACGTTAGTAACTTCAAGGAAAAATAATAATCAAAGCAATTAAATTAAATAATTGAAAGAAAGATTGGGACCAAACCCTCAGAAATTAAAACCTTTCACGTCTAGAGCGAAGGCAACTTCGAATATGGCTAGGTGCTTCTAGATCTTGCGAATGCGGAATTTTGTATAAGAAAGAATTGAAGAAATTAAAGAATGCTAAAGAATTAATGTTTGTTGATGAAAG